AACTTACATTTCTCTGCATTCTTCAGTGACTTTACCTGAGACACGCTAACGCATGTTACATATACTACATTACATTGTGAAATAAAGATCTCTTTAGGCTATGAGAGACTCAAAAGCACTAGAAAATGTGAATGTTTTTGATTCTGGAGTCCCTGTACTAAATCATTTAGACTACAGCAAAACTATCTAAAGACACAAGACTAAATTCACACCTCCTGCAAATGCAGGGAGTTATACAGACTTCAGTGACACTGCAACTCTTTAATATTGCTGGGAAATTTGTTCTCAGTTTCTACAAAATTTTCTCCCTGACTTTTATCTTACATCAAGAACCTGAGCAGTCTTAAAGGCAGACAATTTCTCTTCCAGATTACCCTCCTTAAATTTTAGTTACTCGAGAATACTTTTTACTAGTATAAGAAAAACACAATGATTTGACAAGAATAGTAGTATTTCTTTCTTGGAATTGTTAATAGTCAATAGATTTGATCTCAACAACTTGTATGACTGTTTCAAAATGACTGGCCAAACAAAAATATCTGTGAAAGAATGTTACAACCTAGAGCACCCTAATGTCATTTTTTCCTTTTCATTGGATGTCATTTCTAAAGACTTTACTTGCCTTACCATAGTTTCTCACCTGCTTTCACATACTTCTCAGTATTTTCTTCTCACAAATCAACTTCACTGAAATACTTCACAGATTTACATGATGTGCTAACTGTAATTTCCTATTCAGATGGAGAAAAGGTATCATTATTCTGCAGTCCTCTCCTGTATGTACTATATTAAAGCACCAAATTCAGTAGTTACCATTCCTCCAGCTGAAGAGGAATGAAGTAATCTCAGCAATTCTGGCTATACTCAGCCATTGAATCGTCAAGTTCAAAAGGCAGAACTGCTGGCAATTTGAAAAAAAATCTCCATTTTCTAAATTCATCATACAAGCTGCAACAGGACCACAAATTTATTATAAAATCTTATCACACTTCTTAGACAGGAGAAGGTATAAAGTTAACTGAAGTTAACTGAAGTTATTTAAGTTGCAAAATCAAGTATTGAAAGTTACACGTTACCAGAAATGTATTTGCCCTGGGACCTTAATTCTGTGCCCTCCACGCTTCTGGATGGATCAGTAAGTAAATCAAGCAGTCCTTTGGAAGAATTTATGTGATTACTTTTTTGTCTGTTTTTTATACATAGGCAAAAAACCTGAACTACTCATAGATAGCTTGGCAGAAATCTTGATTCTCCTCAATTGGATTATTTAATTTCATAATATAAATCATACTTTCAAGTTATGTTACAGTAAATCCTTATGTATTTAAAAAGCAAATTATTAATACCAATTCCACTATAGATGATCCACACTGCAAACCTTCTATTCCAGTTTCCCACCCCTTCTCCATTTTGGCTTAAGAAGAGCATGCTGAATCATTAGCACTGCAGTACACATTTCTGACACTTGAAATGCAAAAATACTATCACTTGCCAGCAGCAAAAAAATATGTTCCCAAAGTGGGAAACAGACTACTAGCACCATGAGTTAGATTCAAGGCGTTGCTGCACACAGGAATCCTTTTATTTTCTTTCTCCCATACAGAAAATAAGGAAACCCTAGTCTGAAGAGTGAAGGGTAAGAATTAAGAGCTCTATTTTAGTGTAGGCTTCTGGGAAGCTGAGCCCAGTCATAGTCATTGCCATTGCCTAAAGCAACTGTTCTGGCAGTTACCATTGCTCTTTCAAGCTACTTTGCATGGGCTTGTCAGGTTTTGTGCATCCAGTTCTTCAGTACAATAGTGCCCGGTTATCGTATGTCGATTATATTTTTTTTCCAAAATTATTCAAGAACATTTCCTGAGTAATGGAAAGGTTACTTTGAATCAAATTACAAGGAAGATGGGAGTTGATTAAGTTTTGAGATGCCACCTGCTGATAAGTCAAAGTTATTCTGCAGCCAACTGAGAATTCAGAGATCTTCAAAGTCAAATGGAAAAGTTGCTACTGCTATTATCATTTTTTACAATCCATTGTCATGACAACCTATAAACTTTATGAGCAAAGGACCCAAAGCTGTTCTTCGAAAATCAACAGGTAGTTTGTCTCCTGGAGCAAGAACATTATTCCTTAACATAAGTGAAACACTCAGTGCAATGGAAAGCAGCTGGGGACACAGGTCCTTAATGTTGTGGACACTTTTGGTTGTACACTAGAGAATGTCAGAAAAAAATCTGTCTTCCCAAAAAGACTCCTACCACAAATACTTCCCAAATTATGTAATTCCATATCACTTCTGCAGCAATTAACAGTGCAATTTATACTAAAAGGAATAGCTGTACATAGTAGATTGTGTTTCCAAAGAACCTGTGATTTTTTTTTCTCTTCTGGTAAATTCAGTATTTCAGCATTTTAAAACTTTTGTGCATAGAGGCTTCTGCAATATACAGCAGAGAAATAGACCTGACAGAGTTGTTCAATATATATGGTCCTCATCTGCACTACTACTTTGTCACTTGCCTTGCCTGTAAGAAAAAAGAAAACCGTAAGAATGACAAGACACTAAAGGTCAACAGGAATCAGCTTATGCTGCAAAACTAATTTCGAGATGCCGTAGCTGTTTCATTTACTGAGTTTCACTACTGGTGGCACATCTGAACAGCTATGAAATGGTTTAGGTTTTTCATGCGCAGATCAAAACCAACGGGATTTTTTGATCTTCAGTATGAAGTGCAGAGCTGAGCCCAAAGGGAGTGTTTGATACGCACTGAATGCAGGCTGTAATTCTATTGTTCTTAGTATGGTCTATGTGTAAAGTAAAACCTTATATATTAACCAAGACAAAATTAAGCAATCCTTCCTAAGTATTTTTTTTAAAGTTTCCTTTTTAATGACATGATGATAATAGGAAACACGCTACTAAATGGAAAAAACCTGAGGATGTTGTCATCATTTTTTAACCAAATGGAGTAAGCTGTGTAGTACACCCAGTGCACATGTATGTGACATCAGGTACCAAAATCTTTACTTCATTTATACTTTTCTTTGGAGGGGGTAACCGAGAGTTAGACCCCTCTCCTATCGTATGCCGGTGCTGTGTTGACGGTACCCCATGCTCACTATTTAAAATAATTTGGCTTCTCTTAGAAATCAGTACTACGGCAGTGAGCTTGTTATGAAGCAATACCACAGAGAAAATAAAATGGCTGATGAGGATGGGGTCTTGACTACATTTTTCACAAATAAAGTGCAATTTACTAAAACGGACCAAATCCCGTTACGACCTCTCATGTGGCAGGTTGGTGTGACTGTGCAGACATATTTCAATCATCCCATTTACTTCCACAACAAAAGCAAAGCCTGGTGAAGAAATTCCAGTTCGCTCTAACACTCCCAAAATTGGAACAAGCCCAGCCAACACGGGCACGGGAAATCAGAATTAATAAGAGAATGGAAGAGGAAAAAAAAAATAAAAAAAATCACTGGGACAAAACTGTAGGTGTGAGTGTACCCTGTGGATGTGCCGTAGCACACCGTGGACTGCAACCATTAAAATCCTGCACAGAAATAAATCCCAAACCCGTGAAGGTTGAGCGAAAATCCTCATTACCATTCCCACCCAAACATGGCTGACACCAGGGCGCACCAGCCCCCGGCCCTGCGCGGGGCGAGGGATGCGGTGCCGGTGGCGGCTGCGGGGAGGGGGGGGGGGGGGGGGGGGGACCGGGCCCACGGTGGCCGCCCTCCCTCCCTCCTCCGCCTCCACCCAGCCCTCAACACACGGCGGCCGCCGCAGCCCTCGCACGCTGCCGCCGGCCGCTCCCGGCGTGGCTGGCGATGCTCCCGCTCCATCATCCGCCCGCAACGGTGAGGCCGGCCCTGCTGCGGGCGAGCCGCGAGGCGGGGGAGCGGGCGCGGAGGAGGGGCCGGCCCTGGCCCCCTCTGCCCCTGTAACGGGCGCTACACCTACGCGGGAAGGTGCTTTACGCAACGCGCGGGAGATGAATGAAACGTCTGTCACTCACGGCAGGGAAAGGATACAAATTCCCCGCCCCTCCCCATTAATGATGATGATAATAAAATTAAAATTATTATTAATGCTACTCATAATAAGAACAACAAAACCAGCCCCGTACAACCTACTTCCTTATACCCTACCGCTGGGTTACACCACACGGGCGGCTGCCAGGGGCGCTCGCTATTGTCTCCCGAGGGGCCGGCGCCCTCCCTGCGAGCGAGGGGCTGCCGCCGGGGCGGCGAGGCGGCCTCCCCTGGGGGGGCTGGGGGAAACCCCCCCTGCGCCCCGCAGGAAAGCGGGCACTGGGCGGAAAGGGGAACCGCGCATCCTGCCCCTTCCCGCCCGGCCACACGAGGAAGGCGGCGGGGCCGGGCCCTGCTCCCCCCGCGCCCCCCACGCACGG